AACTCTCAAGAGGGAAATGAAGTTTTCAATCTGTATACTGAAAAGTCATGAACTTGTAAACATTTTAAAAAGAATTTTGTCAAAGAAGTTCCGGAACTCCGTGCTGGTGCGTTCCCCAAGGGAAAAAAAAGTCCTGATGGAGACTTGAACCCTGGTCTCAGAAATCCTTGTCCAACCAACCGCTGTACTACATTGCCTCTCCAATTAATCCACGGTCACACCTCCATGAAGAAACAAGCCAAGCTCAGAGCAAACAGCCAACCAACCCCTGGGATTGGGAGTAACGTTCTGAAGACCAAGCCTACCTGGCAAAGCAGTCTGCATCCTGCGATTCATTTCTTAAGTAAGGGATACAGTTCAGCTCCCACTCAGCTCTGTTCACTCCCAGAGGTGACTCACACTACTTTCAAGTGGCATCAAAGCCTTCATCCATGCAGATATTTTGCTCCATTGTGGCTTCCTTACAGCAGCGCTGTTTTGGAAGCATCCTCATGAACGCCATCCTCTTCTGTGTTTTTTCTTTCCTGCTTCCATCCCCCCCCCCCCATTTTGCTGTGATCTTTTCTACACCTGGTTTGGTGAGATCTATTCAGAAGATCACAGTCAAAGCACGCTTACAAGGAGTACAGAAGGGAAGGTGCACATTTTTGCCACTCCTGCCCAATCAGTGCCATTTTTCTTGTCTCAGTCCCGAGGCTGCCATTCACACACACACTGACAAAGGAGATTTTTTTGGGCTTAAAAACAGCATTAAAACAATACAGCCACAGACCAATTACCAGTGTTTAACACTCCCCCAATCCTCTGGTGGTGCAGGGAAGAAGGTGGGACATGGGGACTAAGGCAAGGAAACAGCAAGGGAAACAACCACGTGGATGTCCTGTTGCTGCTGGGAACACCTCTGAATACGTAGCAGTAATGAAGAGCTACACAGAGAATTGTGGCTGTGTAGAAAAAGCCACAGCTGTTTCACATGCACGGTGATAATGCAAGGGACGTGGAAAGGCGCTGCTGTGTGGAAGTGGCCATAGCAAACAGCAGAAGCCACTTCTCTCGACTATTTCAGCAGACAACAGCCATGGGGTCACACAGAAAGTAGACGGCATGTCCGTCACAAGCCACCCTCAGTGCTGCAGCTGCTCCTAAGTATAATCTGGTAGGTGGGTACTGATGCACACAAGCCATCCCATGATGACTTTACACAAGCCGGGTCTTGCCTTCAGACCCTGAAGCAGTTGTGGCATGTGGGCCTCCACAGATGCCTCAAGACAGAAGAGAATGAGACGAGCCATCACAAAAGCCATCCTCCACACACCTGAAATCTTTCTCCTTTCTTCTCCTCCAGTGGGGACCAATCCAATCCTGGCATCAAGAAGGCATTCCACCCAGGGGAGTGGCCTTGCTTCGAGCCCAAGAACCAAGTGCCAATGCTGGCAGCCAAGGAACAAGGACAGTTAATAATTCACTGCCTGCTGGCCCTGGCTGCTCAGCACCCAGCCGACTCTCCTGGCACACAGCCACCCACTCCAACCTGTCCGATCAGCAAGTGAGTTAGTGGCATATACAGGCAGTGCCACCCCAAGGAGGAAAGCTTTGCCAACCTGAGTTTATTTCACACACCGATTCATGTTAACAACATGGAAGAGCATGCAATGGTGGGGCTGTGGACTTCTATCAAGTGGGACATAGTGCAACACCAGTAGCAGCACCCCCAAACATTCTGCACCCTTTCCAGCAACGAGTGTCCTGGGAGGAGGTCAGACGAAAACTGGATGAAGTGGGAATCATTGTTTTTTCACTATTGCAAGTAGAAGCTTCATGTTTTAGAATCTGGATGTACACTGAAAAACATACATGTGTGCATTCCTTCCCCCCCCCCCAAAAAAAATGATAAGGACAGAACATTTCAGTCCTCATCTTTCAAGGCCCATCCTCATGACCATCAATGGCTAGTTCTCTCTCTTACATACATACAAGATACTTTTAAACTTGAGGATCGAGTCTGGAACTCTGTGCATGCAAAACAGGTGTTCTACCACCAAGCTACAGGGCCTTCACTGCACATGCCTACAGCCATCTCAGGTCAAAAACCACAGCTTTCTTCTGGAATCCGTAGAAAGACTTTTATAATGTGAAAAAATGGTCCAGGCAGAAAGCTTTGAACCTCAGAAGGAGATTTCGCAGCAGAGTGGGGGGAAGCCAAATCCATCACCCCAGGAACACAAGACAGGACTGGTCACCTCCTAATCAAGAAGCTTGGTAGAATTGCCTGGACTTATTAGAGACAGGGTCAGCCTCCTCTACGGGCCTCACTGTGGCTTTTTGGCAACTGAACCAAACAACGCAGGAGAGCAAGGCGTCAGGGCACACTGTGAAGAGGGGGCAAAAATGAGCAGAGAGCGCAGGATTGCGAAGCTTTGCAGATGCAATGGAGAGCCCTGCAGGAATTGCAGTCTCTTCCCTATTTACTTTCAGCAAGACCTCTTGGTGCATTTAGAAATCCACACAGTTATCACAACACTTGGTTAGTAGTTTCTCCCATTGGTCAGGAAGGAGTTTCTGTGGAGATTTAAAACAAATACAGACTGGGTAAACCAACACTTCAGGAAATGTTTTAAGGGGGGGAAGGAGAGAAAGGGTGAAGTGCAGCACAAAGCCTCTTTCACGGAAACCAAATCTGAAGCGGAGAAGCAGCAGGCCTGAAACCAAGTTTTGGGCAAGGGAAGCTCCCAAGGGCAGGCAAAGAAGGCACCACAAATCAAAATCTGTACAGCTTCAGGGACAGGGGACCAGGGGCCATCAGTGGGAGACTCCAGATACCAATGCAAGGGCATGGGATGTGCCAGCAAGGCTACCTTGTCTCTGTACCCACTGCCAAATAGGGGCAGGCGGAAACTCTAGGCAACTGTACTGCATTCCCACCCCTTCCTCATCCTAAAACTGCTGAAATACTTCCCCAAGTGAAGCACACAACTCAGCTTCATAGAGCCATACCTGGAAGAGAAGAATAGGAGAAATGGACAGCCATGATCCAGAGCCACCCCATGTTAAAGCCTACCCCTTCCTATGCTAGTGAATGAATAAATGATGTTTACTTACGGTCAAAGACCATTTGTCAAAATAATACATATTCGTTAAATACAAACAGATTAGCTTTCTGTCGAAAAATATATATTTAGACATACAACCTTAAAACTATTCAAATGTTAAAAAATAAAAAGTTTAACAGTCCATTATATCAGAATAACTATGAAAATGTCTAAAACTAATTATAAGTCATGCAAAAGGTGACTGAGGGTTTTTATTGTGGAATTTTACCAGCTGCAAGCAGAATTTAGCTGTTTGTCTGGAGTTTACCTATGCTAGTAGGTATGCAAGTAGCAGTCCGGCAACTTTCATCTCCTCCTGTATAATATGTTTTCTATGGTAAAAAATGTGTACAGGCTCAGTGCCTTCTTACTACTCAAAACTCACTAGATGCTTTGTCAAGCTTTGATTATTCACCATTACATCAATCATTTAATAGACAGAGGTGTGAAGCTGCCCTCACCAGTTAAATGGGGGATGGGGTGAATCCCAGGGCCTCTCTTTCAGTCAGGGAATTCTTCAACACCACCAGCCAAGCTGAGAAGTCTACTTAATTAAATAATTTATATCCTACCTTATTTCCTTGGACTCAAGGCAACTAAACATTCAATCACAAGTTGCAAGGACCCCAAAGGTCCATTTAAATTTACAACTAATGCACAGATTTTAAAACTCACACAGCTAAACCTGCTGGAAGAATTCACCCTCCCACAAACACCCTCTGAAATAGAACTGTCTTGCATGCTTCCTAGATGTAGCCACTAAAGAGACCCTGCAGTAGACCATTCCAAAGGAGTGGAGCAGCAACCGTGAAAGCCCATGATGACCTAGCTGCAGCTGCTGAATAGACAGTTGTATGCATGTTGCCTGCCCCTTGGATAAAGGATACTGTGCCACCCACAGAAGCTAACACACACCCCAGTACCAATCAATCAACCAGAGGCGGATGCCCTGATGGGAAGCAGGAATTTCACACAGGAAGGCATCTCTAAGAGAGATTGCCCCCTTATTCAAACCCATCCGCAACCTGGCAGTGCAAAACCAGCTGGCTCTTGACCTCCGTACCCCTCTCAACATCCTTGCTGGCAGCTTTTACCTTCTGATCCTGCCTGTGCTAAGCCAGCCTTCCTCCTCTTGCCCCAGCCAGTCCCCAGATGGGTTTGATTCCAATTGCCAAGTTGCCTGAGCAAGCCAAGCCCCAAAGGCCATCTCTGGTAGAGGCTGGCACAGGAAGGGATCCATCAACTACCCTAGGGGAAAAAATTATATGGCACCAAGTGTGTGTGTGGGGGAGACTTTTGCTTATAAGGATGCAGGGTTTGCCAACTTTCAGGCAAAGCAACTGCTAAGTGCCATTTGGGAGGACTTGACTGAGGGGCAGCATATAGTTCTCCCCGGTTCTATCCAGGGCATCCCCAGGTAAAGGTTCTCAGGTTTGAAGGTGCTGGGAACAACCTTGCTTTGCTGGACAGCCACCACCAATCGGGGGGGCCAAAGCCAAGCAAAACGGATGAAGGCCTTGACCTGGGAGTTTCAGATAACAGTTCACAGTTCGAAGGCGAAGGCCCAGCCAGTCCTCAGAGATGCTCGAGAGGCCCAATAACCCCGGCTGGATATAGTTACCTCTCCAGCTGGCCACGCCAGAACCGCTCAGACAAGGGCTTACCGAGTCTCCTCCCAAGCCCCCGCTGGTCTACAAGAGGGTCGCCACCACCCCCACCCACCCCGGCGTTTTGCAAATATGAGATAGGCAGGAAGGCGGTCAGCCCTCCCCCCGCCGACCTCAGACCACAAACTTCCCGGGCACACCAAAACTCCGGGAGACACAACCAAATGGCGGCGACGGAATAGAGCCGGCTGCACGCCTGCACCGCATGGCGACGGGCCTCGGCGGCCCGGAGGGAGCCTCTCACCTTGGAGACGATGAGGGGCTCGCCGTGCTCCAGCCCCCCGCGCAGAGTGAAGCCCCAGGGCGCGCCGCCGCCCAGCTGCACGTGCACGTACTGGAAGGAGACCAGCAGCCGGCTCGCCGCCGGGCTCTCCCCCCGCCGCCGCGACTGCGCTTCCTCCCCCGCCGGCCGCGCCATGGCACCATCCCGCAGCCCCTCACGCACGGCGGGCCAGCCCAGACCGACTGCCGCTCGGCATCAATGGGACGGAGGCTGCTTGCTGCTGCTGCTGGGCAGGGGGCGGGCCGGAGGCGGCCGCGGTGGGTGGGGCAGGGAGAGGCGGGCGGAGAGGGCTGGCGTGTCTGTGCCGCCCTTTACTTCTGAGTAAGCTCCCGGTCCCGGGGTAGCCTATGCGCCACCCTTGCAGATTCCCCAAATGACGCGTGGCCAGACTCTGGCGAAAGGGAGGATTTTCCGGAGGAAGAGGGCGCGCTTCGATCCCGTGAGCACGCACTGTTTCGCCTTCGTGACTGGGTGCAAAAAGGGACGGGAGGGGGGCGCAACGGCCTAGCGACGACACCAAACATCAGGGAGCCGCAGCTACTCCGGATTCACGATTGGAAGCGCTCTGCGCCACATGGAGAAACTCAATGATGAGTTTGAAAACGGGGAGCGGGGGTGGGGGGAGCCCTGGCTCCTCGTCTCAGGCATAAGGCAACTGGGCCGAGGTTACAGTAGAGCGGCGCATCCAGCACACGCTCAGCTGCTTCTCAGCCCCAGCAGTGCATATGCCCTACTGCATTCCAGAAAGGTAGCCTTGTGAGTCTGTTGTCGCCAGGAACGCCTTAAAGACTAACAAATGTATTGTGACAGAAGCCTTCCCGAGTGACAACTTGTTTACTGGAAAGTAAAGTCCCATTGTGTTCCAGGAGATTTACTCCCTGGTGTCTGCAGATTGCAGCCTTATTTTAATTTTATTTATTTATTTTCATTATTACCTCATGCTTCCCGGGTTTAGGCATAGCCTCGAAAACAGGTTCGGCTGCTGTTGAATAGTGGCTCACAAAATGCTTCAGGGAAACCAGGACCCATGACTGGTGCCAAAGCCAAACTTTCCTTAGCCAACATAAAGTAAATCTATACATGCAGAAAGAGTGGGGGAAAGGCACCATTATGACTTTAAAATGTGAGGATTAATTCTACAATTTATACAGCCAATTTCTAGTCAGAAAAGAACAGTGGATTTAAACTGTCAGACAAGGGCAGGGGGAGATCTGAGTTCAAATCCCCCCTCAGCCATGAAGTTCACCAAGTAACCCCAGGGCCACTAACTTACCTCACAGGATTGTTGCATGTACACCACCCTGAGTTCCTTGGAGGAAGGGTAAGATATAACTGTAACGGCAGATGAGCCACACTTCATAGCATGTCAAAGGAAACACACTGGAAAACACACACGCATAATACAATAGCATGGGAGGATCAACATTTTAGGGGGTTAAGAAGAGGCTTTAGAGGCTCTTTAAACATCCCCCTGGCCACTTGGTCCACATAGATGTATCGTCTGTATTAGAACTTTGAGGTAGAAAAGAAAGACTGCAAGGGGCCAAGAGTGGAGTTGTGTGAGACCTGTTGCCTGGATGAGGCAGGGGTCAAATGTCATGGGCTGCCTCCTTGTGAATCCCCAGCTGTGTTTGTTTAGGAGCAGTGAGGAAGAGAAGCAACCTTCTACACACATAACACACAGCTCCCCCTCCGTATGCCTCTGAATCTAAACCTATTCACTCAGAATTAAGTTGCATGCATCAGACTGAGAGTTGCCTTTTCTGCGACCCCACCCCGCCAACTCTAGACTGGCTCATTCCTCCTCCTTCGCTCCCTTGTGAGGACTCAGCACATCCACAGCTGGACAGGGGGGTGGGGAGCTAGGAACAGCCGTCCAGAGTGCGCCCATGGCATGGCTGTTGGAAAATTTCCATCTTCTCTCATGCTTCAAGCTATCTCACCCAGCTCCTGCCCAGGCATGGACTGGGAAGTCAAAATGGCCCTGGAGCAACCCAGGGTGAGTGGCTCTTGCAGGACTAAGCAGAACTACTGGCTTGGCTCTGTTTGCTCCTGGATTGCCAGGAGACCCTTCCGGCTGCAGTCCTCTGGGAACTTTCCCTGTAAGTGAAATGGCCAGTCTGCCACTGTGCCACCCCCTCTTCAGTCTGTATGGACTGGAAGAGCAGTAATGAGAAAGTGAAGGTGGGGGAAGAATATGAGCGGGACCCCAAAGAGGAATTTGGTTAAAAGAACAGAACATCCCTAGTAGTACCCAGGAGTTTTCAAGACTCGGGGGCTGTTTTGCTGGTACCCTGTGAATCATGCAAATGACCTGGACTTTTGCAGGGAATCAAAATGAGTAGTTTGGTGATCTTTGGCCCTGCATTCCAGTGACACAGCTGGGATGAGGCCCCTATACCTCTGCCCACATCTGTGCCCATACCCAACCAGAACATGGACAAAGGAGCAAATGAGCCACCTCCAAACACACAGGCAGGCATGGCTAGCCAACACGCAGTGCTGCCTAAGGGACATTATTGCTCTCTGAATAGCTCCCACCAGCTGCCCCCAACCCTCCCAGCACAAAGGCCAGACAATCATTAACACAACCCTGGGAAACAATAACCATCTTCTGTTACTCAGCTGGAAGGCCAGGAATGGGGGGGGGGTTTTGGTCATGAGGTTCTTCTGTGTCCTTGGTTGGCCTTTGCTGGAAGCTATTTGACCCGACTCTGAAGGACAGAGAAGGGAGCTGGATTTGAATTAGACACCACCAGCCTTGGAGTCTGATTTTAATGCTGAAAGCTCACTCAGCACTTGGAAACAAAGCTGCTGCTGCTGCTGAGTCCTGCTTACAATGGCATTCAGGTTGATATGTGGGGCCCTGCTGGGCCCAGCAGTGTTCCAAAAGACTCTGCTCTGCAGCAGGATCCTTTGCGTGTTGATGTTGATCTCTTGTTACAAGCTCTGAGCTTTTGCACTTTTAAGCCAGAGGAAGACAAAGGCTGTGCTTTATTGCAGGATGCAACACCCCCTACTGGATGCAGGCTGCTTGTACGCACAGTAGTCATCACTACCTCTGTTCATGCATCAAGTTGCCCTTGCAATTAAAAACTCCATCTGCAATAAATTAGTTAGGCTTCATGATGCTTCAAGCTTTCTGTTTTTTTGCACTGCAACAAGCTATTGTCACAGGTCTTTCCAAATTATATGAGATGCATTCTGAACCTTCCAAGGTGGTGGTAGAGATCCTTTTCTCAAATGCAAGTGACCTCTCCACAAAGTCTCAAATGTTGCAAGGCATGGCACCTTTGCATAGCTGTCTCCTTGAATGCCAGAAAAGCTGCCCCCTGAGGGGCTATGGCTCACTGGTAGAGCATCTGTTTGACACGCAGAATGTCCCAGTTCAATCCCCAGCATCTCCAGTGAAAAGAAATAATCAGGTGGTAGGTGGTATGAAAGACCTCAGCCTGAGACCCTGGAGCGCCACTGCCAATACTGACACTGATGGACCAATGGTCTGATTCAGTATAAGGAAGCTTTGTGTGTTCACACAGAGCAACCTCAGGAGGATCAGCAAGCACAGAAGTCTAAAATTCCAACAGTGTGGTTATTAGCAGAGGCTTTCCCCCCTTGCCATCAAGTCACAGCTGACTTATGGTGACCCTGTAGGGTTTTCAAGGAAAGAGACATTCATAGGGGGTTTGCCATTGCCTGCCTCTGTGTCATGACCCCAGTATTCCTTGGAGGTCTCCCATCCAAAATACTAGCCAGAGTCGACCCTGCTTAGCTTCCAAGATCTGGCAAAAAGCAGGCTAGTCTGGGCTACCCAGGTCAGAGTTATAACCTTATAAATCCATTTTTCAGTGAGTTTAGGGTCTAGAAGTTTGTAATTGGTGTAGCTGTGCTTTAGGCTTACACTACAGGTCAACTATGCATTGAAAAGTGGGGACCACTACATTTCCAAGCGGGCAGCATACATATAAAATCTTTCAAGGATTATAAATCCATTCAGTTGTACAAAGCATCTCTCTACAAACACTGGCTGAGGACTAGCCTGTTGCTCAGCACAGCGGCTCATCTGGAGGCAGCTGCCCATCTATTTTGCTCAGTTGTGTTCCGTTCTACCTGTGGTGCTTCTCCTCCTGCCATTTCATAGCTCCTACAGCAAAGGCTGCCCAGGTTCAGAATAAAACAGAAGTCTAGCAGCACCTTAAGGACTAACAGAATTTATTCCCACATACACTTCTTTGAGTCAGAGCTCACTACATCAGATGCATTGGAATATTCATCTAATAGGGCTGCCGACAACTTGGAGAAAAAAAATGTCCTGCCCCTTTAACAGAAGCTTAACGGGGATGCTATTTACCAGGTGAGGTTATTTACCTCCATGCCATAAAAAGCTTTACTTGCCCATATCCGGACATTATGCTGCTGTTAAAGAGGAAGACATTTCTTCTCCAGGATCTTGGCAACTCTACTAGGTAGCCCACAAGAAAGGGCAGTGGGAAATGTTCTCTCTGCAAGTTTCACCAGAGTTCAGCTTCTGTACAAGTGCTTAGGGGTGCATTCCAGCTCACCTCTGCGTGGTGCACCCTGGAGAGCACTAAAGAGCTAGAACTTCTGGCTGCCAGACTATTGTAGAATCTCCTGGCTACACTACACACATGGAAACATGCCATATGATAAACAAATAGTAAAAATATACAAGTGCTTGGGGGGGGGGTGTCAGAGACTACCCATCTCCTCAAATGCTCTCTCAATTACCTGCCTTCAGTATTTCTGCCCTGCTTCTTTTTTCCCCTCTGCCCCCAACCATTCTGCTGGGACTTGTCTCATTCAACAACTGTCTGTTCCTTGTCTCAAAACTCATCCACCTCCTTACACAACAGCCCCTGTTCCTTTTGCCAAGGGCTTTTCTCAGTGCCTGAACAAGGGAGTGTCTCAGACAGTCTCCCCTTTGGATCCCTATTTATAGCTGTCAAGCACCTCCAGGTGGGAGCTGCCTGCTTGGAAACTTTGAGACTGGTGCTACAGTAAACACAGCTGCTGGCTGGGGGAAACTCCCATTTGCCAGGCTTCTGAGCTGATGGAAAGGTCATGTGGCAATCAGAGACCTGGACTGGTCTCCAAACTATGCAAGTTTTAGGGTCTTTTCCCAGGTAAGGAGAGTGCAGCCTTGGGGAAGATGAGTCATCAGTTAGGACCATGTCAACAAGACGTTTTCAGAGCAGGGATAGGAACTGACAGGCAAGATATTCCTCCTTCGACCTTCCATCTTGATTTACAATGAAATTTTCCAGCATTCAGTGCCCAAAGCATCCACAGGCCCCAAGCTGAGTCAATCAGTAATATTTCATTTTACAGATGAGGGGCTGAGCAGAAGCGTAGAGTCCTTTAGTGGGAAATATAAGTGCATCCACTGCAGCCTGCATGCTGTAGCTAAACCTCCATCCAGTGAAATAGCCTAACTCTCAAGCATATTGCTCTGTTGAGCGAAATGCATGCAAAATCAATCCTCCCTTGCTCAGAGGAAGCCTATAGGGAGGTGCAACAAACACACCTGCACAGAGCTGAGGATCCCCACTTCACAGGCCCTGCAGCCAGCACCCCACCCAGCCCCTCCCCAACTGGCAAGCTCCAGAGGATCTACTAGTTGCTTGCCCCTTCCTCACATTGGAGCTCACAAACCCTGCTCTAGCCAGAGGCAGCCCCTTTAAAGAGGGACTCCTTCAATGTTGGCCTACTAGAGCCAACCTGACTCCTTTTTTGGTCTCCCAAAGCAGGGCTGCTGCTGGTGCAGGCCTCAGGTCCTGGCCTCTGCTCCAGCCTCCGAACTCTGTGCGGCAACAGCAGCCCCCTGGTGCCCTAAGCACTGACCCATCTTGGTGCTCCCCTCCTTTTGCGCACCACTCAACTGAACACGTTTCATTTTTGACGTTTACATGGGGCTGAAATTAAAAAGGGGCAGAGAGGGTCATTGAAATGACTGTCATGACAACTGAATTTGGCTCCATCATTTTACTTTTAAACACATGCATTTTACTTTTAAATATAGCCTATGGCACTGCACCTCGCCAACAAAAAATAGAAGATAACCCTAGGGTACACCATGATCAATTTGCACTAGTTTTATCAATGTTTTGTTTTTTTTAACAAATATTCATTCGTGTTTTTTTTTCTTTTCACCCTTTTCCCAACTTTGTGGTGCCCCCTTTGGCCCTGGTGCCCTAAGCACGTGCTTAGTCTGCTTAATGGTTAATCCGCCCCTGACTCAGCCCCCTCCCTCCGATCACTGAGCCAAGGGAAAAAGCACTCCCCAGCAGAGAATGCAGAGCGTATGCCAACAGTGGAAGTGGGTGTGACATGGATGTGTCAGCTGCATCAGCAAGGCTGAACAGGAGGGCTCGGAGGGCTCGAGACCTCCCTGCTATCTGGCTCAGCCTAGCCTGCCTCTGGTGGTTCCAGGAGAACAGATCAAAGGGAAACAGTCTGGTCACAATGGAATGAACCAGGTGGTGTGCCTCAGTTGCCAGGCTTTCCCCAGACCAACATTGCAGGCTCTGGGCTGGATTACCCCTCGCACTGTAAATAGGACAGAGCAAGCCCAGCCAAAGAGGGCTAGAACAGAGCCGGAGTTCCCCCCTCCCCCAAAAGCAGAGCAGAGGTGCCTCCTTTAAAAATTATTATTATTATTACTTTCAGTTTATATACCGCTCGAACCCCGAAGGGTCTCTGAGCGGTTTACACACGATTTAATTTCCTACCTAGGGCCACATTAACTGGGGAAGTGTTTTTTGCCTACCAGCACCCAGGCAGCTCTTGTTGGCTCTTTTAAACGGGCTTCAGGTGTTCTTTCTTGGCGGTCTACCTCCTGGCACCTTGGGACGGGTCTTGCTTCCTTGGGACGGGTCTTGCTTCCAGCGACTTCCTCTGGCAGGCTTTTATCCTGGGGCACGGCTACGCGCCAGCCACAGCTCCAGCTATGTCCTGCTGGCTCCGCCGTGCCGTCACGCCCCCGCGCCTCCATGACTCCGCCTCCGCCCAGTCTTCGTCGCTCGACGTCACCAGGTCGCCAGGGCTGCCCCACCGATCACTATGCCGCTCCACCGCTTTGCTCGCCAACTGCTCCGTTGTTCTGCCGCCGCCGCTGCACACCCCACGAGGGAGGAGGGTGCCCCCTGCCACCTAGGGCAGGTACCCAATTTATCTACTCGCATTATGCTTATTGTGCTTTCGAACTGCTGGGAAAAAATGATGGTGGCTGCTGTCCCCAGCACACAAGATTGGAGCCTGGGCTTCAGCTGGAGCGGTGATCCCCAGTGTGGCACCCACCAATGTGCTTCCTGGTGCCCACTTCCTCCATCACCAGAGCAAAAGGCCAATCCTAGCAGCCAACCCTAGCCATTTAGTGGTAGTGCCAACTACCTATTCTCAAAATCCCAGAAGTGTTCAACAAGGTTGGGAGCCCCTGAGCTAGAAGATTTGAAAGATAAGAAACCCAGACTGCCCAGAAACCAGGAGGTCTGTGCTGAAGAAGATTTCCAGATCATGTTTGTGCCTGCTTCCTCTTCCCTTCCCGCATTTATTATGCCATCCTGCCCCCGTCAAGTCTGCAGGAGCAAATGAAGGTGTCAGGGGCCCCTGGCCAGGCAGTAGAAACAACCTTGCTACCACCAGGACACGTGGCAGTGATTTCTTCTCCTTTCCCCCTGCCCATTTGCCTGCCTGTCACCATAACAAGACCTCACAGCTGCTCTGCCAGGGTAGGAATGGTGATGGTAAGAAGCAATTTCATTTTTCTAGCCTATCCCTCCAACCCAAATGACTTGAAGCCAGATGTGGTGTCAAAGACATGAGTTCCAGCAAGCCACCCCAACTCTCAATAAGCCTGCCACCAATTTGGGCCAACAGGTTTAGACCGGGTTACCAGTTTGGTCAATCTGCCCGTTACTGATTCAGAAACTCCAGTTGTGGCTGCATGAGGCTGCAGTCACACACACTATATAATGCACTTTCAATCCACTTTCAGTGCACTTTCCAACTGGATTTTACCATGTGAACTGGCAAAATCCAGTTGGGAAGTGCTTTGAAAGTGGATTATTTAGTGTGTGTGACCGCAGCCCCTCACTAAATAATCCACTTTCAATCCACTTTCAATGCACTTTCAAATTGGATTTTGCCAGTTCACACAGTAAAATCCAGTTGGAAAGTGCATTGGAAGTGGATTATTTAGTGTGTGTGACTGCAGCCTGAGACTCTGGCAGTTTCCTGTCACGTCTGGGCTCTTTAAGAAAAAAAGAACATGACTAAGAAGAAGATCATTGGGCCATACACATTGTCTCCCGTAACTAAATTTAGTAAGAGCTCGGGATTCACATATCTAATGACAAAGCCTGCATTAAAGGAAGAGTTCCCCCTCCCTGGTTAGAGCCACTCCAAATTGTGCAGAATCCTTGACAGGAAGTGTGTGTGTGGGAAATTAAAGAAAAAGAAAAAGACATTGCAGAGTCACTTGAAAATCACCAGATGCAAACAAC